TGAAATATGTTTTTAAATGTACTTAGTAATTATTTAATCGTAAATATTCATCTTTATTTATGTACTAGCTGTGTGCCCGTTCTACGCACGGAGATCTTATAGTGGTCAGTTGAAACCTTCCTACATGTTATTGTACCTCTTGTATATAAAGAACAGCAGTTGGTTTGCATATTTTCAAATATGCTGGCCAAACTATTATATATAAACAAATACAGTATCCGACGGTTTCAAAATGCGTAATAGAACTATAAGGGGTACACTTCCATATCTGTTGGCACAAACAACCAAATGAGTAATAATGATTATTCGATTGTTTAATTCGATATATCGTTTGGTTAGTTAGGTTAGGTTAACCTTACCTAACTAACCAAACGATATTTAGTTAAAATACTATACCTCAACCTCGCTATTAATTATGAAGGTTGGAAATTTCACTATCAAAGGTGTTCTTGTCCTGTCCGTACGGAACACTGAGTAATATAATATGCGCTACCAACTTATGAATAATTGTTTAGGCATACGAACCCAAGAGATAGGCAATTGGTCTATTGGCTGTATGGTCCAGCGAGCAGCACATAGCGTTGAGAAGACACATTGGAAAAGCGATTTGAGCATAATCCGTAAACCTCTGTTACAATCACCCACTGCAGTTGTCACTTTACACTTTACACAACCACCATTGAAGTGCTATCAATGAGTTGAAACCTTTCATGCAAGCTATTGGTAATGCTTATGTAAAAAATGTAAGTTTCCCAGCCTTATAAAACACAGATTCAAGGTCTTTTTCCTGGTTATCAAAACTCAAAAAAACTGTTATACTCAAAGAATCTCTATTTTCATTTACGGTTGCCCTACAAATTATTGAACTTGCGATTAATTAAATCCGTTATGTAAGGAAAAACTGTTTTAATCCAATTTGGTTTGGATTTGCTTTTGAAACGTGATCGGAAATGATTGCGGTATTTGAAACAACATTCAATGTAAACATATCAGTGACATCTAGAGAAAAATAATCTTGATCCGAAGGGCTGTTCGCTATTTCATAAAAATTGGGAGAAAACTTGATAAAAATTGCTCAAAATTGGGGTTTTAAACGTCCGTAAGTTTATTTAAAAAGTAGTGAGGCCATATTTAATAGCTAAAGACACTCTCGCCAATCCAGTGAATACATTAAAATGATTCGGATCTTGATAGGTAGGTACTCTCGTTTTTCAGGAGAAGGCCGCGTAAATGGCTCTTGGGCCGTGACAGACGGAAGACAGGCTGACAGAAATTGAGATGAGACTTGTTTCGGCTTCTTTAATGTATAAAACGTAAAAATAACCTAAAAATTTATGATTCTGAGCAATGTACAGACAAAACTCTAGTTTTATTTAGGCTATATAGATTGTTTTAAACACATGTCTTTGTATATTTTTCAGTTCTTTTCTTAACGCATTTGTAGGCTATTTTATAATAAATATTTTCAGCATGAAATAATCGAAAATTATTCACAACACTGTGTATTAGTATCCCTAGGAATTAAAACCCAATGAATTCTATAACCTGCCATATTACTGAAACTCATTCGCTGAATCACCATTTAAACACTCACAAGTATATAAACATTAATGCTGTACTTTTTAATGGTAACACTATCTAAATCTATCAAACACTCTCAAAACATGTGTTTTTAGAGACAGCGAAATACCTCAGGTCCCTTCCTCCTACTGATGAATGGGCATTGATAGCTATACAAACACTAGCTGTAATCCTGTTAGACAAATTACAAAGGGGCTGCCGACGGGACCAGTGGAAGTGCGGATTTAGAGACCTTACTTGAGACTGGGACCAGTAGAAGTAGGGTACCTGGCTTACGGGACCAGTTGAGTCTGCCCCTCAACATCGTCCCTTAATTTATCCCAGCAACTGCGTTTACTCCGATTGATGGCTCGACGAAGATACCTCCTAGCCGCCCTATAAGCATCCGACTTACGCCGTCTGTCTAGGGGTTCTCTAGCCCTGGTAGCAAGTCTTCTGGCTCTCAATGCTGCTCGTCGCAATTCCGCAAACTTGGCAGTCCACCAGTACACAGGACGCTTATTGCACCGGTATCTCCTGCGAGGCATAGATTCATCGCAGGCCGAGACAATCAGTTCCATCGTGGATGCAACTAACGCCTCTGCGTGAGGCACGCCAGTTGCGGGATGAATATCCGGCGTTCTTCGTAGGATGGCTCCATTGAATTTTGCCACGTCCAGTTTTTTAATGTTCCATCGAACGGGCACTTGACGAAACGCTGCCACTTGTCTCTGATGACCATCCAGGACGTCAAAAATTATGTACTGGTGGTCACTGCCCGTGTAATCCTCCAGGACTCTCCAGGATCTGATCCTTGGCAAAAGGGACTCAGATGCAAGGGTAATGTCTGGGATCGTCCCCCGCATCCCAGGGCGGCGGAAAGTTGGCGTGTTGCCCTCATTCAGTACAACGAGTCCGGCTCTCCAGAAAGAGCAAAGTCCAGAATATACTTGCCCCGGGAGTTGGTGAGGGTCATTCCCCACTCGACAGCCCTAGCATTAAAATCCCCACCCACGACGACGTGTCCGGTGGTATCGCGCACGCTCTCTTCTAGGCGGTCTATCTTCTCACGAAAGTCACGGATGGCCTCGTTGGGAGTAAGGTAGACACTGAAGTAAGTGACATCCCTGCACCGAACCCAAACGAAACCTCGGCCATTCGCGTGACCCCGCACTTGTACTTTAGCTGCATTACGAGCCCAGAATGCAGCAGTACCAAGACTATCAGGGACCCATAAAGATGGGTCCCTATCTCGATACTGGTACTGTTCGCTGATTAAGAGAGCGTCGACATCGTGTTCGAGGGCAAACTGACAAAGAAGTGCGTCAGCCGTCCTGGATCGCTCCAGATTGCACTGAAGGATTCTTATCTTCGTGGGAGAGATTTCGCTTGCTGTAGAGCAGTTTTAAATACACTACACTGCCCAGACCCAGCTATATGTTTTACGTGTTTGTCAGCGAGCCCATTTTCTTTGCAAAGGAAACAGGACTCGACTTTGCAGTCCTTACGGATGTGACCAACCTCCCCGCACCGCAGGCAGTTCTTGCTTCGGTCGGGTCCCTTGCAGTTTCGGGAGGAATGGCCGAAACAGAGGCATTTAAAACACCTCTTCACTTCCACTCTCCGTCTGAACCTGCAGTTGACCCAGCCGACTCTCAGATACAGATGCTGGAGTGCCAGCACCCTAGTGGCAAGCGCGTCTGCCATTTCGGCGATTGCCATCCGCTGCTGACTCCTATTGGGTTTTGTGAGCCAAACCCTTAGGATGGCCGTTTGCCCGGCAAGCTCGGGTACAGCTTTCTTCAGGGCCTCAACAACGTCACTCTCCGTCGACACACAATCAATGTCTCGAACCTCAATTGATGTCTTGGGCTCAAGAGCACGGACGGTGCCCTGGCCTTCAACAGCTGCCTTCAGTTCGGCAGTAAAAGCAGCCTTGTCTTTCGACTTACCCAGTTCAAGGAGAACGTCCCCTTCCCGGGTTTGTCTAATCGACCGTACAACCGTATCGGTCTGCTCCGGTTTAGCTTTGGCCTTTATTACGCCCAAGACCTCGGCAAAAGATCTCCCCCCTGAGGGTTTGACAAGGATTGCCTCCGTCCTGGGCTTTTTGGGCCGCGACCTTTTCGGAGCAGGGACCGAGCCGGGCCCAGTTTGGGCCACGCCGGTTGGCTGTGCCTTCACTGCCTCATTCTTCATGGAGGCGACCTCCGCCCGCCTCAATTGCCTCTTCTCCTTTTTGGAAAGGCGTTTTTCCCACACAGCCTCAGGTGTCTCCACCACTGACCCCTTTCGGGAACTTCCCTGAAGGGGGGTCGTGGGTTGCTGTGCCTGTCGGCGCCTCGCTGGAGCTGCAGCTGCGTCCGAAAAGGATCTGGACACAGCAGACGAGAGGTCCGTCTGAGTCGCCTTGGCCTTAACCGTGGTCTTTTTGGTCTGGACGCCTTCTTCTCTTTTTGGAGGACTCTCCGATGTGGAAGGCCTCCGACGTTTCTTAGAGGGCAGCGCTCTTTCATCGGGCAGGGACACCACCTTTTCGGCAATCTTTTCCATGGTCGCCTTGCTTACCAGACGGCAGGCAAAGACAAAGCCAAGGTCATCCTCTAGTTTGGCCATTCCATTTTTGACCACTTGATTTACGGCTCTCTGGGTCCGGAAGGTGTCCAGCATAGCCTTAATGGTCTTTTCCATGTCACGGAGCCGGGTTTCAATGTTACTATCTGCGTCAAGATATTCCTGACGCAGAAGCACAATCTCAGAGCTTTCCGACCGCGGCGTCGCTGTGAGGGTTTCCTTCGGCATCCCTACAGCATCTACATCGCCAACATTTTCTGTACCGTTCCCAGCTCCACTTCCCGAAGGAGATCCTAACGGGGGAATCGTAGAGCACTTGAAAGGTGCAGGTGGCGGAGATGTCCTCACGTTTTTCGGTGGTGGCGACCTCTTAAGTTTGGAGCTTCGGACAAAAGGGCTCTGCTCCACTTCAAACGAATTTACTTGCTCATTTGAGCTCCTCTTCAATGATGTGTTTGGGGTATTTTTATCAAAACTCATCGTGTTTTCTCCAGCGCATCGTGCGGCAAGGAGCGGCCCGGAATCAGTCAGGAACGGGTATACACCCAGCTTAAAATACACGCATAATATAATATTATTTTCTCGAATATAAGTTGTGTTTCCAGAAATCCCATTTTATTAGTCCTTGGCCCTATACTTATCGTTCGAATAGAAGTTTGAATCCCAACCGAACTCCCATCTATTTTAATTGTGACCCCCATATCCCTCGAATAAATGTTTAATTATCCCCTGCAATCCACCTTTTCCTATCGTGGCCACATATTTATCCCTCGAATTTAAACCACCTTCGAGATTCTATCATTTTTAAAACATCGCCTTTTAACCAAACAACTCACAAGGACTAAAGTAACGAAGAACTGACGTACCTTCTGGACGGTGGTGAGGAAATCCTTCGCCTCCCGCAGGTCCTCGGCGCATTTCTCCTGATGGTCGACCCGGTCCTCTGCCGCCTCAACCAGCGCGGCCAGCGTCTCTCGGACATCCTCCAGCTTGCTTCCCAGGACGGCGACCTCTGACCCGAGCAGAGTGTCCGGGTCCAGCCCCACGTCAGCGGCTATCCTAGCCACCAGCTCCTTCAGCTCGGCCAGCCGCGCCTGCTGCGAGGCTAGCTTCTCTTCGCACACCTACAACCACAAGAGAAGACATACGTCAGCGTGGAGTCTCATGATTGAGGTGGCTCCATAACTAAAAATCTCAATATCCTTCAGTCGCGGGAGCGAGCTGGTCTAGTGGTAGACTGCTTCTGTCCTTGAAATCCCATGTTCAAATCCTGCCAATACACGTTCGTGCAACAAATAGTAAACTGACATTTTAACAGCTAAAAGGATAAAGGTTTGCAGACGGGGTTTCAAGAATGTTATGCAACAGTGGAAAACTAACCCTATCAAACACTGCATACGTAACAGGACTTAATGCTGACCACAATTTTAAGCATTTTCACGTGTGTGACTGTTCGAACACATACAAAGAAAATATTTAAAAATCACACGAAAAATAATCCGAAATAATTAGCCCCCTAATTTACAAGTAAAAATTGTTACTACCAAATTAGCTCTATTACTTGAATATAGACAGCTAATGAAATATTTTCTGATAATTTTGGATTTGAAAATCCAATCTATTGTTACCAAACATGAGGATAAACTAGTCCCCGGGTTAATGTTACAGCTTGATTATTATACAAATACCATTTCCTGTAAGATTTTCATAAAAATCATTATTCAAGACTACCATTTATTATTCAATTGTATCGATGACATCATTACAAAGCATCACTAGATCGGCAACTAATCAAGAGAGATTTTCCCGCGCGCCAGTGACCTGACCTCTCTTATCAGCTGGTGATAGCCACGCTGACATCAATACGACTTGTAGTTCACCCGCCAAAACTATTCCCATCTTGACTGGATGGTTACAATTCTAGAGTACATTTTAATAGTAGTTTTTATAATTGGTGAAACCGAAACTACTAAGAACATTTACTTTAAGTGTGAGGTATTGGTAAATTAGCTACCCAATTATACAGTAACAGAGTAGAGTATTTTGCAGTTTGTGGAATGTTCAGAAAATTTTCTGTAAGCTGAGAAACCTTTATTTAAGTAACCTACATTTCTTTAAGATTTTAGAGCATTTCCTTGTTTGCGGATCATTAACATGTATTGTTATAAAAGTTTTTTCTAGTAGTTGATTTTTACAATCAAAATTTGAGAAGTTTTTTTTCTTCCTGAGTAGATAACATAATACCTCAACAATTCACTTAGTTTTTAGCAGTTTTTTTTTAATAGACTAGGTAGATATTTCTAAATCGTGAATTTTCACTAACACCGGCACAGAATAACTGAAAGGTCTCTGAACTCTGAAAATGTTTAATAAATGTGGGGATGTTCTGCAAAAAAACACACTGTGTCTAGTTTAGAACCTTCCAACACGATTTTACTGCAAACAAATGCTATCACAACTTCGTTTCAGAATACTAATTAGCCACTGTATTTAATCTCTTCAGAAAAATTACTTCAGGATGTTAATCTCCAACAATTACATCTTTGGCTATACAACAGCTGTTCCTAGATAAGTTAAAAATAATATCAAAGGGACCAAAAGGAAATACAGCTCCTACATCATATCGAGCTACGCTTTATTGATGGAGCGTTCAGAAAAGATGATACTGTAGCGTTAAGGCCTGTTCACACCGGCGTAGCCCGACGTCTGCAGACGTATTCGGTGTATTAATACGTCGCCCGTGCACTGTTCACACCGCAGCTACGTCTGACGGCTACGTAGCCGGTGAGCCGGCTGTTGTTTGCTTATTTCATTATATTATTTTATATTTGGTAATTTTATTGTTTATTTTTATTAGCGTTTTATGGATTTCAGTTAAGATTGTCACGGTTCAATTGCTGCTTTTATAGTACCCTGAAAAGTCTGTTGATTAATGAGTTAATGTTGACAAAAATGTTTCATTCTAATTTTAGGCCGTATATAGTAGACTATAAGACTTGTGCTATATTATAATATAAAATAAATATTATCAGAAAACATGCAATAATTTTGCTGATCCACGGATTACATGATAAAATATTCTATGGTGTATTATAAGTAAGACGTAGGCCTATGTCTAAAAATAATTCATTAATGTTTCATCAATTATCAGCCCACAATATGAACCATAATAAACCATATTAATAGAGACGACTTTTTTGATAAGGAGATTTACAAGCAAAATGTTAGTGAACATTAGGTACCCGTATGATGAAGTATTATTATATTGATCATATAAAGTCTTCTTAAGGTTACGTTATAGGAGGTTATAGTGATTTAATCATTTTTTTAAGTGATTCTTAATTTTTGTGTTATAATCCAACATTTACCGCTTAATAAATTAATTATAAGGTGGAGGGAGGGTGGCGGCGACAGCCCGGTGTGCTAGTGCGCATGCGCGTATTCGGCTATGCGAGCTACGCGTAGCTAGCCGACGTAGCGGCAGCGCCGTAGCTTCCGTAGCTCACGTATTAATACGCCGGTGTGAACACTCTCTATGAATTACATTACGAGCTACGTCAGCTACGTATTCCGAAAAAGTATTAATACGTCTGGCTACGCCGGTGTGAACAGTCCTTTAAAGAGACGATAAACATTGACGTATTTTCGGATCCAGAAATTATTTCGGGAGAACTGAAAATACAAACACATGCGTAGCGAACCTTCTGGAGTTCCGTCGCGGGGCGGTAATGTAAAATCAACAATCATATCCGTAAGAAAGAAGAGTTAACGATTTAGTTGAGCATACTTACCTCTACTCATTTAATGAGCAAGGAATATTTGTATAAATATAACACTTCTTTAACCCCCAAGCGAGGTTTTAAATCCTTGTGAAGTAGCACGCAGGAAAAAAGGGTCACCCGAAAAGATGAAAAATATCTCCATTTTAATTCCGGTCTTTCAAATCATCATCAGCCACGTTATGCACACTTGGTTTTATTATTTTGGCATAATTTGTTGTTATAATCAGCGAGGGCGAGTTAATTAACGAACGCATTCACTATAATTTCTCAGCACATTCCTGTTGTGACTTATTTAGTTAAGGAGAATTAATAAGAGTAAAATAGTTGTAGATGTGAAATATGGTAAATTAAAGGCAAGATTTTCATATCCAATATAAGTTTGAGTACAAGTTTAAATTCAATATCCTGTATTAATGTGCAGTGAAATAAAAAACACTGTTCCATTTCACATACGTGTAAAATAAATTACAGAATGGCAGTAATGTTATTTTAGGCCTATACGTAATCACAATTTGGTTGGGGTTGGTCATGAAAGTATAAAATCGTAACATTTTTAGTTTGACCAATCAAACCATGCAGTAACAAGTAAAACCTCGTGAATATACAACCTAATCGTGAAAAAGAATTGTTGGTTTTAATATTTGTTTCCAAATGCGACCTAAAGACCGTGTGTTTATGTAAACTGTTGAGCGAAACGAAACTTCCTCTAAACAACCTAGTCAAACTTTAGTGAGTCAATAGAAATGATGGATTTTGTACGTGACAGACAATACTGAGTCATCGCGTCTTTGAAATGTTTCAGGGAAACTTGGAACTGCGAAAATATACAAATTAATCAGCTGAGCTGTGGATGTAGAACAAAATATAATATTGTAAAAGCACTGTTAAGTATGTACCTACTGAACTTTATTTACCTACTCGTAATTACTTGCACTTTAAATTATAATTTACCGTAAAGAATATTACAGAAATCGTCATTATTTTTTTTACAATATTGAAAAGATATAAACGAATACGTTAATGAATACAGTGCAGGTTTAAATGTGTTGGAACCTTGGATACCTTCCATTCACCAAAAGCACGTATGCTCACTTCGTATACGTGGTTTTAAAGAATGGAAGGTATATTGTTTATTAAGGTATATTTATTGTTTATTTCTTCACTAGAAATAAACGATAAAGTCGACGAAAACTTCGTTTTTTATACGTTTAATTGACTCATACATAACCTGTAACAGTTTGAGAAATATTATAATTTTAACCATGTTAATTGGATCTATTAATTTAAATAACTGGTATTGGGGGACGGAGCCATGGCTCGGTATAGTTTATTTCGCAATAAAAAGGAAACTCACGTTTTATTTACAACTTAATTTAACGTTAATTTTGGCTTTTATTATTTAGGAATTTCAATTTATTATTATGGAAATTTTAACCTGGCAATCCACAACCCATTAATTTATTTTACAGTCGATGGTAAAAATAGTTCGTTTATGATAGCATAGACTAACCAACACAAGTATTCTCATCCCATTGTAAATTTTGAAGGTCGTTTTTCGTGTCTAGTTCATGTCCGGTGACACCGATCACCAGTGTCCACAAAATTTTGTTTCTATTATTTTAAGGTTAATTTCATGATTTGCGCTTTACTGTTTAGTTATATAACTAAGGGATGCGTTATTGTTTATGATTGTATAGTTTTGTTTGGTTAAACGAGGTTTTAAATCAGGTGCAAGCAATACACATATACAAGCAAACACTGTTCATATAAGAGTATAAAATGAACATATGAGATGCTTTTTGCATGTTATACCTATTTTAAGACAGAAAGCAATCATGGATATTGGATAATTGTACAACTTGATTTTTAGATCACATGAAAATAGTATGTACCTGTACGCTGCACCCAACGGTACGTTGAATAGAATACTACTGTAGTGTGGAGTTTTTCAGTTTAAATTGTTTAGGCAATCCCTTTAAACTAGAAACACAACGGCTCCAGTGTTTTTACAACTGTTGAGCTTGTGTCAAAAGTTCACCACATTAAAAGCATGGAAACATCGTTGACATTCTAATAGTAATATATTCTTGTGACCTTTCCGCTGACATTATAAACATGTTCAACGCATAGATTAGTCTAGTTCGTTCCGTTCCAACAACCTTTATCATTGATTATCTTAATCTGAGCTAAAAATAGAATAATCTATGTTATAATTGATTGTTTCTTTTTACTTATGATACGTGTGTAGTTATGTGTGAGGACTTTGTGTGTAAGAACTACGAGTAGTGGAGATCGTGATTGGTGGATTTGTGGGTTATTTATCCCCACATAAACTTGTATAC